CTCGCTAAATTTCAATGGCTGCTCTGTCTTCAGCAGCTGATTGAGATCCCTCCTCTTCAGAAACTTGGCTGCACCAAGCAGCGCTTCCCGAGAGGCCTGCAGAGTAACAGAGTCCAGGAGATGGCATCGCTGCCCAGGGCACAGGATCCGTATCCCTGGACCAACGCCAGGAGGAGACTGGAGCCTTCGAGGTGCCAGGGCAGGAGACAGCCCAGCCCCCTTCCGCAGTGACACCAGAGCCAAGAAAGTCCTCACCTCTGCCAGTCTCTGTTTCTCCTCATGCCAGTGCAAAAAGAGTGGGAGCAGGCTCTGGGTCACATATTTCCCCAGGGGCTTCTTTCCCTCAGCCACTACCAACTCCATCACCTTTCGGAAGAGGCGAATGGAGAGGACCTGCACATGGCTGTTGTCCTGATGGAAATTAAGAGGAAAAGACCTCAGCACCAGCTGCTCCAGGCCCACCTGGGCACAGGCCTGAAAATCCACAAGGCCCAAAGTTTTCTGCCAGCACCCGGCACCCCTGGTGGGGAGCACAGAGCCTTACGCTGTCAAAGAGTGGCCGGAGCGCCTCAGCCAGCTTCGGGGCAGTGGGCCTGGAGATTAGGATGTCTTTGTTCTGCAGCATATTTATGAACATCGGCAAGGCCATCCCGAGCACCTCTACATCTGCATCCTGCAGTAGCTCCACAAGGCTTTCAGAGAGGCTGCACATTCTTGTGGCCTGTGAGGAACAAAAGGCTGTGCTGGGAAGCCATGAAGGGCTGCAGCAACAACCCCACTCTGGTGGGGCAGCCTCACGTGCTGAGCCAAAGGCCTGTCCCGAGGGACTCCGGCAGCTGAGCTGGGAGGCAGCAGAGCTGGGAGCAGCTGCCACAGCTCCCGAAGCCCAGCCAAGCCCAAGTGACTGCACTCCCCAGCCCCAGGATTCCAGCACGGCTTCAGTCCCTGCCCCCTCCTCACCATCACAGGATCCTTGCTCAGCACCACGAGGCCTCTGAGTGCCAGGCGACGTCTCTCTTTGCATTCACTCTGTAGGTGCCTTGAAAGGATCTCCAGGATGCTTTCACCGCAGTCAGTCATGTCCAGGCAGTCCAGGATCTGAAAGGCACGGAGCAGTGACAAGGTGCCCAGCCAGCAGGAGCCCAGACCCGCACAGGGCTGGGCCCAGGCAGCAGCACAAGGCACGGCACCGTCCTGGGCAGCTGCGGCTGTGAGAGGGCAGAGAGGTGGAGGCAGCTCAGTGAGGCAGCGCTCGCCATCAGGCTCACCTCCACAAGGAATGCCATGGCAGGAAGCTCCCAGCGTGGCTTCTCCCTGATGAGCAGCCCCAGCAGGCAGAGGGCAACCGGGGAACACAAGGGGCTCGAGGCACGACGCATCTCCCTGGCAGGGGGAAATAGGCACCATCAACCCTGAGCTGCCTGGGCAAACCTCTCCTGGGACTCACTCCCAGAGGCCTGGTCTTTCCCCAGCACCCCGGCAGGGGACGAGGGCACTCTGGCAGGCGGCTCCTCCTGTGCACCCACCTCTCCCAGCCTTTGCCACTCTGCTCGGCCATCCCTGGGTGACAAGGCCCTCTGGCCCACGACCACGGGCACTGCGTGGGGTGCCCCGTGCAGAGGGCAGCAATGACAGGGGCAGCAGGGACAAGGGGGTCTCACCTGGCCAGCAGACCCACTGCATAGTGGTGGGTGTCAGTGTTGAGGAGCGTGTCCCAGCCACGCTTCCGTTCCATTGCCATCACCAAATGTAGGCACCGTAGACGGCGAAGCAGTGCCTTCACAGTCTGCCCTGCAAACCTGTGTGCAGAGCAAAGCCCAGGCCATGCTGAGAGCTCTGGCCCCAGCCCCTGGCACATGGCAGGGATGGGAGGAGTGGGATGGAGCACCTGTTGGGGTTGGCGGGAAGGCCGCGTTTCTCCCGGCATCCCCTCCAGAAGGCATTGACCTCCTCCGGCATCTGCTTTGTGCTGATGAAGACTTGGAAGAGCAAATGCACAAGGAGGGGGGGGGAATATTTCACCAGTGGCTCTGGGCACCAGGGCAGGCGGAGGATCTCCCAAATCACCCTGGTTGCCTGCAAAAAGGAAACCAGCCGGAGACAGCTCTCAGTGCCCAGATATCCATGCAGCAGGGCCCAAGTGTGGGAGGGAAAGGCCAGGGGAGACACAGGGGGAGCACCTGGCCTGCTGCCCCTGTACCTGCCCCTAACCACATTTCCAGCCCAGTGCCTGAGGCAAGGAGACATGGTGATGGGGGAGGATGGAGAACCACCAGAGAGGCAATCTGGGGCTGAACAAAGGCCAGTTCCAGAAACTCACAGCCAGGGCAAAGACATCTGTTTTGTCCCCGTCAGAGGTGGAAGTGCTGTGCAGTGGCCAGTCCTCCATCACACGGAGCAGCTTTGGCAGCACCTTCTCCACTGTCATTCCCGATGAGGCGATGGTCTTCCACAGGGTTGCAGCAGCTCTGTGGGGCCAGAGTTCTGTGTCAGGGGGGTGCCGGCCAAAGTGCCTTGAGGAGCAGGGAGGGACCATGGCAGCAGGATCGGGGGTTGACATGGCAGGGCTGGGAAACAGAGGCACCAGAGGGTCCCAGAACTCACTGTCCCTCTGGCAGACCACGTGGGACGGGATGGACAGGGTGATGGGCTCTAAAGGCTGCTAAGCCCCAAGCCCTGAAGGCCCCGGGGACCTGTACCTGTCACATGATGGGGCACAGCGCAGGAGGGTGAACACAACATCAGCAGGGTACATATCAGTCAGCCTCAGAATGTTGATAAACAGCCTGTCATCTGGAGGTGTGTTGGAGGAGAGACTCTGGTGCATTTTCCTCACAAGGGCCGGCACCTGGAGGAGGCACAGCAGAGAGCTGGAGAGCTGCCAGACCAAGCAACTTACCCAGCTTCCCCCGACAAGTGCTTCCCTTCCCACCACTGTGCTGGCCTCAAAGGCTGAGGGGGCCCAGCTTGAGTGGGATACAGAAGCTCGGGGGGGCTCAAGTCCTGGCCGCAGGCTGCTTACTTCATCTCGACGGGACACAACTCTCTCCCCAAAGAAATCCATACTGGGAGCAGAAGCCAGACTCTGAGTTAGCATGGTGTCAGGCTTTGCCGTGCCTTTAGTCAGCATGGTGATCATTTCTCTACACGGAGGTCCTATCAGGTTGCTAACTGTCTGCAGGAGAACAAAGGGCAGGGAAGAACGGGATGTGCCATGGAGAGCTCTGACAGCGGTGCCAGGCTGAGCAGGGACAGCAGGCCCAGCCCAGGAGGCCGTG